CCTCCCCCACCACCTCTTCCCGGTATGCCAGGGTTGCCCCCTCTGTCTCAGTTTGGGATACCAGTACCACCACCACCTCCCACTCTATCTGGTTTTGGAATTATGGCAACTCCAGCTCTTCCATTTGGATTGCCTCCCAAGAAGCTTTACAAACCAGAAGTTCAACTTAGGAGAACTAACTGGTCCAAGGTGATTTCTTGTAATTGATAATTAGATATATTTTTCCCATTGTCAATGTTTCCTTTTCCAAACTCCTCAGTCTACCAGTGCTTTTTCCCCTTAATTACTCTGTGTTCAAGATTTTGAATGCTGAGGACTAGAAAATGTTTATTACTGATTGTTGCAAAACTAATTTTCATTTTGCAGAATTTTATGACATATAAAGTTGGATGTATTTTAGGTACTTAATAAATAGGTCAATTTACCTCTATGAATAATCTTAAAATAGTGAAATGTTTCTTTTGATATTTAAGATACTGCTTTTAATTTTTTAGAAATAATTATAGCAATCATTTAAATATGATGGATTACAGAGTGAAATTATATATAGATATGAATTTTAAACAGTAGCACAAGTATTGTGGTCTAAGCTTTTAGATATTGTGTGAATATCTTTATCAGATGTGCTGAATTGGAAAAGATAATTGTACATACCCTAACCGTATATAATGGGGCCAGAATATTTTAAGGCTTATCTGTTACTGAATGGAACTTTATAAGGCTTGCAGAAGTATAAAAATCATTGGTTAGAATGTGGGGTAATATATACATCCTGGAAATTTCTCCATTAGTTTCTCTGTTTAAAATCTTTTGATGCCTGCCAGTTTTTGAGACACATTTTCTTGCATATTTGTCTCCGCTAATTAGAACTAATTTTGATTTTCTGCTGCTTAATTATTCTATTTATTAGTAGTGAAATAAAGAGCTGGCATTAAGCATGTAATTATATTATTCTTTTTTTTTATTTGTACCCCATTCTTATGGGTAGAAAGGTAGCTGCCTCTTGTATTTTATGATGAAATGAAAAATGCATAATAAATTAATCCCATAAATTGATAAATGTAATTCAGCAATATTATCTCCAGACTAACACTATTTACTTTTGATGAAATGGTTTCTGTTTGATAAAAGCTTATGAACAATAGCATATTTGCCAACAGGCATAAAATCTTTTTGCTTAAAGATACGTACAGAACAGATAAACTGCAATAGGAATGTGCAATGGTGTTTATATGGATTATGTCATGTTATATATAACCTTTACAGATTACAGTACAGGAATTATCTGAAGGCTGTTTCTGGGTGAAAGCTAAGGAGGATCGTTATGAGAATGATGATCTTTTTGCCAAGCTAACACTTCGTTTCTCAACTGCACAGACCAAATGTAAGTAACATTTTGTTACTTACTTTGAGCAACAATAAGTAAGGAATGTGAGATAGGCAGCTATATAATTTACCAAATAAAGTAAGAACTTCATTGATGTACACTAAAGACAGAAATGTGTTAAGGATGGTTTATGCTTTTGTGGGGAAAATAAATTGAGCTCGCATCAGGGCCAGGGGCAGCTGAAAATTAGGAGGGTCACACTCATCCAACAAACCTCCCTATCCAAAATAGACTTTTAGGCATAGTTTATTGCCTTACACACACAAATGGTGCCCTCATGTGGCAGCAGGAAGGGACATGAGATCAAACTCACCATAATACTCACTCTATATGGCACCCTGTTGTCATCTGGTTACAGCTTGAAAATTGTGAATTTTCTGATGCCAGTTTCTGTAGAATGAAAACAGGAACCAAAGCAAATAATCAAGCTCTCTGTAGTGTTTATTAGATAGTACATACTGGAGAGGATCTCCTCTAAAACAATAGTGAGAGACATACCCCTGCAGAGAAAAAGATGCACTCTTTTATACATTTCAAAAGGAGGGGGAAATGAACATGCCTACATGTTCACGATTATTAGCGTATTAGATCTCAAATTACTTTCTGCCCTTCTGTTATCTACAGAAAACAATAGTCTTAGAAGAAACATTTGCATCTTGAGATTCAGTGATTGCATGAATGATAAAACTTAACCAAGGTGCCACTGTGGAAAGCACATACATTATTTGCAAAGTGGATTACTGACTACATAACCCTAAATTCAGATTATTTTAAAATGAATTCAGAGAATATTTGTAGCTAAGGGTTGACCTCTCTGGGGTCTTTGGTGCTCTTTGAGCTTAGTTGTTTTCTTGCAGATGTTTCATTACCCGACTAGGTAACATTATCATATTATTAATGCTACTGGTTACCTAGTCAGGTAATGAAACGTCTGCAAGAAAACAACCAAGCTCAAAGACCATCAGGAAGCTCACAATTAATTTCAATAATACACACTTTTCATCTATAGAGTATATATGGTTTCCCAAATTTATCATCTAGTAATATAAATATTTCATATTTATTCATGTCTTATTTTGTTTTTAACATGTTTTTTCTGTATTAGATATTTATAATATAAGCCAATTACAATCAAGTATATAAAACTTAATTTTGCAGTAGTTACAGTCATTCATAATGATATGACATATAACATATAAATAGATAGATAGACAGACAGACAGACAGACGATTTATAACATATAAATAGATAGATAGACAGACAGACAGACAGACGATTTAGATGAGGGAATAGAAAGGGAACTCATCAAATTTGTTGATGACATTAAACTGGCAGGAATAGTCCACACCCCAGATGATAGGCTCAAGATCCAGATGGAACTTGACAGACTTGAACACTGGGCCCTATCCAAGAAAATAAAATTCAATGTAGAGAAAAGTAAGGTCTTACACTTAGGCAAGAAAAACCAAATGTACAAGTACAGATTAGGTGAAACCTAACCTCAAAAGCAGTCTGTGAGAGGGATCTTGAAGCCCTAGAAAACAATCACTTTTTTGACAGCAGCCAAAAAATCAAATGCAAATCCTAGGTTGCATAAACAGAGGGATAGAGTCAAGATCACATGAAGTATTAGTACTGCTTTATAAAACCTTAGTAAGACCACACCTGGAATACTGCATCCAGGTTTGGGCAACACAATATAAAAAAGAACTTGAGACTCTGGAAAGAGTGCAGAGAAGACCAACAAAGAAGATGAACAGTTGCAGGAATTGGGTAAGTCTAGTCTAGTGAAAAGAAGGACTAGGGGAGACATGATAGCAGTATTCCAATATTTGGTCAATTTTTTCTAAGTTTTATAGTTCACACTTTGTAGATAGTCCACAATGTTTTCTTTTCTTTTGTTACAGCTGCTCTTTGTTTAATCAAAGCCCTGAAGGTCATGACAACAGGCTTTTCTTTCTGGGCTGTGTATTTAGGGCAGTATTTTCATCCACCACTAGATGTCAGCACCAGTCCATCTTTCAATTTTCTGTATTTTTTCCCCCATAAACTAATTCGCCGTTTTCGTTTAGAGGAGGGTGAAACAAAGACATCCCCCCACACTTTCGGAGGATTTTTACTTCTGGGTTTTTTTCTTTTTCTTTTTTCAGGAAATCAGTCAGGTAGACGAGAGAAAATCAATATTCTTACCCAGTTCACTCACGCTGTTTACAATCACGCTTAGTTTAATGCTTTTTGGCTTTGGCTGCATGTAGCTTGGGCTAGAATCACGAATGATGCTAGCCTTTCTTCTGTTGCTTTTTGGAGAGCTTTCCCTAGATGTCCGGATCGACCACCGTCTCCCCAGGATCGGCGGGGCTTCCCTCCTTCCTTGCCATCTCTCCAGGGTGGCTTTGGACCCATTTAGGGTCCCCAAACAGAGAGAAATCAACCGTACGGCTCGGATCGTCTCGATCCCTCAGCTGTAGCACTAGCTGCGCAGAACCGGAAGGCCACAGTATTCCAATATTTGAAGGGCTACCAGATAGAAGAGGGGGTCAGCCTATTTTCCAAAGTGTCAGAAGGCAACACAAGAAACAATGTATGGAAACTAATCAAGAAGAGAAGCAACGTAGAACTAAGGAGAAATTTACCAAAAGGTAGAACAATTAACCAGCGGAATGGCTTGTCTTCAGAAGTTGTGGGTGCTCCATTGCTGGGAGGTTTTTAAGAAGAGACTGGGCAGCCACTTGTTGAAATGGTATTGGGTCTCCTGCTTGTGCTGGGGTTGACTAGAAGATGTCCAAGGTCCCCTCCAACTCTGTTGTTCTGTTATATTATTTCTCAGACAAATACCAGAGAAGCTGAAGCTAGATAAAATACTTGTATACAAAAAAATGCTGGCAAGGGGTTGTATGGGACAAGTAGGGAAGGTTAGAGTTAGAGTTGACAAAGATGCTTTTTCATGAGGCAGCTTCTTGGATGAGAAGTGAAACTTCTTCAAAGAAAAACAAGTCCATTTGCCTCGTGAAAAAGCATCTTTGGGACAACTATGACCTGGATGACTGAGAATAACAAAAGAAAAGTCATAAAATCAATATCCAGATTCCCAAAGGGTTTCTCACAATAAAAAAGACATACAAAAAAATAAATGTATTTAAACACATTTTATTTATTTATTTATCAATTTGTATGCAATCTTGGTCATCTAAGTAATTTTAAGCAACCGTTGTTAAGGTCATCCTTAAAAATTCTAGACAAGGTTCCAAAAGCAAAGCAAGGACAAAGCTCCAGGTTTAGATAGCAAAGGATGTATACACCACGGTAAACAGCTTGGCAGTCAAAGTTCAAGGGTAATCCATCTCACAAACAACAAATATTACATTATTTATATTTACTTTATAAAGTAGATGTCTTCCAGGCATGCAGGACATTAACTCAACTGGTACAAATCTAGTCAAATCTAGTTCCAAGGTTGCCCAGGTATTCTAGATTGTTTTGAGAAAAAAATATTCTTAATGATCTTTGCCTGACATGTACTGCTATGCACTTTGGTGCCTCCCTGTTTCTGACATTCAGCTGGTGGTATTGATTCACAAAGAGCTTAGGGCTTTGGATAGGGATTTTTTTTTCATTTATTAGGTTTATGTCCCATCTTTCTTCCAAGTGTTCAGAGCAGCTTCCATTATGATCTCCCTTCATTTTATCCTCACAACCACAACTGTAAAGTAGGTTAGTCTACAGTCACTTGGAGTTTTTATGGCTAAAGGTAGACTTCAACCCTGGGTCTCTTCTTGCATTATTAATTTTTAGGGAAAAAGTAGAAGCTAGCTCAATTGTAGCAGAAGATGTGGTGGAACCGTTTGACCTTCCTTTGCCTATGTTCATATAATTTAGTCTTCAGTTCCTTCTTGCTTTTGTACCCATAAAAGGTACAAAACAAATCAGCATATACTAGCTGCTCATAATATCATATTCTGCGTGTGTTTCCTTAATGCAGTTGTATATTAGTGTTTTATATATATACTAATTTCTGATTGGGAAATTAGAGCCCTAATGTTTCATGTAGAAAATAACTTGAAAAATTATATATACCCTCTAGTGGACAAAACTGAATATTACAAAAATATTTTCTATACGTTTCATATATTCCTAACAAATTACCTAACTAATTTAATTAAAATTAGAATTCAGACAGTTTAGACCAGAGCATCTCAAACCTTGAGTAAATTATCCAAAATTGGGTGAAAGTGGGGGTTTTTTGGGTAACAATCCACAAACTCATTACTTAATCAAAACAGGGACAGTTATAAGAAAATGACTTTTTGATAAGCGGTAAAAAGAACATTCCAATAAGCAGTTTTGGATAATGAGGGAAAAGGTTTAGGAAGCACTAGTTTATACTTAAATGTGACTTTCTTCAGTTATCTACTTTTCTATTTTTTTTATTCTGTTGTTCTCTAAAGTCTGCACTTTATTTTCTAATTATCTCTTCATCCTAGAATCCTCTGAAACTTATTTATTGTTTTCCTCCTCTCTGATCTTCCTTTTTACACTGGGGTGCTCACTTTTAGCTTTAGTTGCTTGTGATTGAACAGTTTTGTTTCTGTTATGATTTAAAATCAGCAACTTCTCTTTTCAACCTCTCCCTTTTCTTTTCTCATAATAAGGAAGAAGTTAACCATTATGTAATTCTGGCAATGATGATGATGATAGCTTAAAAAGGAAAGTGTTATAATATAGAAGTTACAATTTGTGTATTTGCTTTAAAAATACCAATGAAAAAAGAAATCAAAGACAAATTGTTAATTTAGTAACAATTCAAAAGCATAATGTAGATGTTTCTTTTTTGCATTCTAATAATATGGAATATTGTGTTTATAATTGTGCTAAAAGTTTGTGCAAGCTTCCAAAATACAGTTAATGAAATTTCTCTCATTCCTAATGTGAGTAAGAATCTTTCAAATATGTGCTTTGGATGCCACCTGCTGGTGGGAAAATAATGCTTGTTTCCCTT